TAGCTTCTTGTCTATCATTTCTGGAAGCTGCTGTTATCCTTGGGCAGACAGAAACTGATTGCTCACCTGGATTTCCATCCAACACTTAAGTCTTTTCATGGATTAAATTCGGATTTCTGGAATTCACACATCCTGGGAGTCTTTCTGGGAAAGTCTAGTGTCAGAAACAGATATCCAGGTGTAGAAAAGTCTGTTTCACATCTTTGATGTGGTTCAGTTGCAACATGGCCTACATAACTCAGCAATCTCCTTGCTAGTTTTTTCTCCTGTTACAAAGTTTAGATATGACTTTCTCTTAAATATTGACACTGACTTATGGTGTCTCATCTGCCTAAATTACAATTTGTCGTGCTGCGGATGTAATGTATAATATTTCTTAATTTTCTTCATGGTGTTATAATAATTGTTGTTATAGGTGATGCAAAATTAAGATTAAAGAAATAAGGAAAAAACAGATAGTTACTATTCATGTAAATAAAGGGGACCCTGAATGGCAGTATGACAATGAAGCCAACTTAAATAAAGTTTAGTTAAAAAATGTCCAGTGACATCAGCAGTTCTCTAGGGGCCTTAGTGTATCTGTTGTATCTGGACCTGCTGCCTCTGCTGGAACTAGAAGTGTGAATGTATAATGAGGTACAGAGGGTAAAAGAAGCTTCCCAGTCTGAATCTAACAGGTTACATTTTTGTGGACAAAGCTTTTCTGAAAAGAAATTTTCAAAGTTAAGAAAAAAGAAGGGACAAAAAACAGAGAACCAGCTCAAAATTTAAAAATAAGGCTGAGGTGGGATGTTGCTTAGTCTTTATCCATTGTTAAATCATTGCAAAAAACCCTTTTCTGTATACATTATTTCAATGTTGTCTTTAACTCACATATGGAAAGTTTAACTGGGTTGGAAAAAGGGCTGGGTTAAAAACTGTTAGAATGGTCAGGCCCAGAGAGAGGTGAATGGTGCCACAACCAGTTGGTTTCTGGTCACTGGCAGTGCTCCCAGGGCTCAGGATTGGGCCCAATTCTGTTTAATATCTTTATCAATGTCCTGGAGAGCTCCCTCAGAAGGTTTTCAGGTGGCACTAAGTTGGATGGGAGTGTTGATCTGCTGGAGGGCAGGAGGGCTCTGCAGAGGGATCTGGACAGGCTGGATCAATGGGCCAAGGCCAAAGGTGTGAGGTTCAGAAAGGCCAAGTACAGAGTCCTGCCCTTGGGTCACAACCCTCTGTCCTTCAGGCTGGAAATTGGCCCAGCGGAAGAGGACCAGAGAGTGCTGGCTTAGAGCAGCTGGCCATGAGCCAGTATATGCCCAGGTGGACAAAAAGACCAGTGGCATCCTGGCCTGTACCTACAAAAGTATGGCCAGCAGGACCAGGGCAGTGATTGTCCCCCTCTACTCAGCCCTGGTGAGGTCACACCTTGAGTCCTGTGTCCAGTTCTGGGTCCCTCATTACAGGAAGGACATTGAGGTACTGGAGTGTGTCCAGAGAAGGCCAACAGAGCTGAGGCAGGGTTCGCAGTGTAAGTCTTATGAGGCGTAGCTGAACTGGAAGTGTTTTGTCTGGAGAAAAGGAGGTTCAGGGGAACCTTATCACTCTGTACAACTCCCTTGGAGGAGGCTGTAGCCAGGTGAGGGTTGGCCTCATCTCCCAGGCAGCCAGTGACAGAAGGAGAGGACATAGCCCCAAGCTTCACTAGGGGAGGTTCAGGTTGGATGTGAGGAAGAATTTCTTCACTGAAAGGATAGTGTCAGAATGGACTGCCCAGAGAGGTGGTGGAGTCACTATCTGTGGGAATGTTCAGTAAATGGCTGGGTGTGGCACTTAGTGTTATGGCCTAGTTGTCAAGGTGGTGATCAGTCAAAGGTTGGACTTGATGATCTTGAAGGTCTTTTCCAGCCTTAATGGTTCTGTGATTCACTGTGATTCTGTGAACACTTGTACATTCATCTGTTCTTACCTTCACACTGATCTGTGCAAGTGGACTTCAAAACATACTTGTGAGAGACCCAGGCATTGCTCTTACAGGAGTTATTGACAAGGATATTTTGATACCTGTTTTCTCAAGTTGCTTTGATAGTTCTGACATTTTCAGTTTTCTCCTTTTCTGCAGAACTATTGCTGCTCCTCAGAGTTTTGTTGCACTGGCTGCCAGGTAAATTCAGGCTAGTGTCAGCATGGAGACCAGCCGGTATAGAAGTCAGAGGTAGGTTAAAACCTTTGATTCCTCTTTTAGTGCCAGGAATGCACTATCAACATGTTTTTGAATGATAGGGGAGCCATGTAGATCAGATGCCTTCTCACAGCCCAGTCCTCTTTCTCCCCTGCAGTAAAATAAACTGTGGTGTGTCTTCTTGATCTCTAGCAGAGAAGTGACTCCTTCAAGAGGCCGGGCATTCAGTGGCATTCAGCCACTGTTCTTGAAAGAATTGCCAAAAAGGTGCTTGTCTAGGTCTGACTTTGACACTGTATTCCTTATTCACTCAAAAGAGCCATAGTTAGTATGTGTCCCACAAATACATAAGAAGGAGACTATGTGGAGCAAGACAAAAAGTGTCTCTGAGTCTTGCTGTCCTCACTTCTGTAAGAGGTGCCACATGCCTTGTTAAGTCCATGCTGAAATAAGTAGGCTGCAAAAAGTAGAACATTGCTAGAGGCAGGGAACAAACACTGATTCTGAAAAACCGAATACTGACTGAACTCAAGGCGATACACAGAATGCTGACAGCTCTGCAAGGTGGTGCTCAGCAACAGCAAGCGGTGATTTCCATCACCAGCACACATTTCACATAGATAACTAAGCACATTTTTGCTCACAAACCCTTGCAGTGCACTAACTGCAATCACTTCTTAGAGTCTTTCTAAGGGAATAGGGGAATACAGCAACTCATAATTAATCCTAAAAGTACATGTTTTCTAGGGTGGTGTTTTTTGAATTTTCTTTTTTTGTTGTGTCATTTAGTATGAAGAAATCAGCCGCAAATGTCTAGAACTTAGGTGAATTTTTGCTTCTAACACGATTTTAACATTTAACATGAAATGACTGCAGGGGCAATAGATTACTAGTTGAAAAAAAATGACAATTACAAGGGAAAGGCACATGCAAATGTCTTCAAGGGACAGTTCAGAAACATTTTGTTTTATCCCCATTTGTTTCTTTAACTGCCCACATTAAGGTACAGTAGAGTTTTGGACTTCAGTGCAGTGGTTATTACATCAACAAAAATAATTTCCCTGGTGTTAGAATTTAGTCAGGGGTTATTCCATTATATCAATGTTCTACAAATATCATAGAACAAAGAGTATTCTTATCAAGCATGTCCATAAATCTCCAACTATCTAGTTCAGAGCAAAAAAAAAACAAACAAAAGGAAGCAAGAAAACCCAACTCTAAACTTAAAGCCAAGTTAAGTAAAGAAAATTCTAAGAACCCTTGCAACCTCCTCAGTCTGGCAACCTAAAATAAAGCAACGATGCAACCAATGATCAACCACTAAAAAAAGAGATTCTCGGAACTGCCTAGCGTTTTGTCCTGCAGCTAAGTCATGGGTACATCTGAGGAGCACAGCTGGATTTTACAACTTTTGGCACATTTCCCTTGATAGAAGTGGGAGATTTTTTATCCTGCTTTTTAAATCTCTGCGGATATTAATTTTAGAAGCACCTGCATCCTATTATAGGTCAGCCTAACTTTGGTTTGAAAACACCGAAATCTAATACTAAGATTGAACACAGGCTCATAAATCACATTAATCTGAATGTTCTGTCTTATAATATTTTCATATTTATCTTGGTTAGACATATACATATAGTCATTGTCATCCTTACTCCAGGTTATACCAATCATTTAAAAATGGTATTTGCTATCAACCATGTATGACAAACCTATGGCTCATAACTGGTGGAAAACTTGAGAGGTGGCTGAACAACTTTGCATCTTGCAATTGCTGAGGATGTAAAAATAAAAATCATGGTATTAATGATGAAGAATAAAATTTCACTTCTTAGTCTTTTGAGGATTTCTTTGGAAACATAAAATGAACAAAGAAAAGGTTACTTGTACTGAACTAATATTCTACTTCTGTCTTCTCTCCATTAAAAAAGATTCCTAAAATCTGGAAAAACTCTCCCCTCTTGTTCTAAGATACTGCCCCTGAAAGAAACATAACCACATTGTTATTAAAACGGCATCAAGAATAGCTAAGTAATTTGTTCTTGGAAATTAGCTTTGCGTCTTTGTGTTATCTACAAATATACAAGATGAGAATGACAGTGGCTAGAGGTTCATTATATCTGGCAGTATGTTAGCCTTTTTGAGGCTACCATGTTTTCAACATTATTTTAGTATTATAAATCCCCATATTATGCACGAACAACTGTAGTTTACTTGGCATTGGAGAAGAGTTCATTCCTAGTAACAGAATGTTTCTATGTTTAAATTAACTTGTATAAAGAGTAAGATGACCATATTTCCCAAGGAGTCTGCAGAATGTCTTATGCTCTTTATTTGGCCCAGCACACATTAACATTTTAACAGTAGCTTTGAAATTAAAATCAAGAAACTGATTCTCTCTCTTCAAGGTAGAACTCAACTCCTCCATGCCAGCATTAACTAGTGGGTTGCCTTCCCTGTGTGAGAACCAGGGCTGTATTACAGTAAACTGGTCCAGTGTGATATCACAGATATAAAAAATATTCCATTCTGTATCAAAACTAGGCACATGCCTTATATTTATATGAAGAGTAGACCGACAGAGTTGAGTGGTTTTGCTCTCAACTATTCAGCTCTGGCCTTCTACGTGAGGAGAAAAATATCTTATATTATTTCTAATTGGTAACTACAAGGATCTAATTTGAGTTGGATGGTAGTTAAAAGATGGGTGACATCACACTTGGGTCAGTATTGGTGGATATCTAAAAGCACAACCTCTCATTTGTATTGCTTCAAAATGTACACAGTATAGATGTAGATTAAAAAAAAAAAAAAGCTACCAATTTTTTTGTTGTTTTGAACCAGCTAGAAGGGAGATGCAAAGTTTTACCAAATGAGACATATGGATACAAATTTCACTGTAGAGTGTGGTTTAGACAAATGTGTCTTTTTCTTTAAGTATGTAAATCCTACACTGTAGGTTTTTTTCTTTTTCCTTTTGTAGCAGTAGAAAATGTTGAACAATTGTCCATGAGCATGAGCCAGTGGTTCATTGCTGATATCCCCAGAATGCCAATATTTGCAATGCAAACAGTTAGTACAATTTCCCAGTTCTATGAAAGGCCCTGACACATCTGCCTCAAGGTCTGGAGGCTCTGTTGTATAACCACAAATAGTCTTTCTATTTTCATATAACCTTTTGATACACTGACAGCTGCATTAAGCTGCTTCTGCCTAGCAATTCCACATGCCAGGCTGTTTTAATTGGTTTTAATGCCACAGAAAAAGCACTGCTAGCAGAATACCATCAAATCATTTTCATATTGAACCTTCGTGGTCCAGAAACCTCCCCTTCAACCACAGCACCATTGTTTTTGCGAGGGACATATTCAAGGTCAATGCTGGTTTTGTGTTTGCCTTTCCCTCGGCTCCACACAAAAAGAAGAAGGAAACAAAATAAAACCACTCCAAGGAATGTGAAACAGCCCATAGCTGTGGACACCAATATTGTCTTAAGGTCCAGAGAGTAGCTGTTTGCATTAGTTCCATTAGAACTTGTGTCGTTGGAGTCTGTCATATACATAGGGGTCCTGTTGGCATAAAGGAAACGGTCTGAAGTAAACCCCTTCACCGTCAGGGAGGCTGAGTAGGTGTCATTTCCGGCTGCATTACTTGCAATGCAGACATAGATCCCAGTGTCCTGGTCTTGGGCAAATCTGATCTCCAGAGTGCCATCTCCCAGCACAGTGGCTCTACCATTTGATTTAGTTGTGATCAGCCTCCGGCGTGGGGTAACCCAGGAGATGGTAGGCTGTGGGTCCCCGTCAGCATTGCACATCAGCTGCACGGTCTGTCCTTCCTCCACTACCAGGTACTGCAACTTCTTGTCTTGTATCTTGGGCTTCTTACAGGTGAAGTAAAAGGAGAGAGCTGTGCTATGAAAGTCTCTGAATGACCTCTCTCTGACACTGTCTGGGCCAGCACACATTGGTGGCTCACCACCAAATTGCAAGGTGGGCTGCCGCTGCAAAATCCAAAGAAGGCGGCAGTCACAGGCCAGCGGGTTGTTGTTAATGCAGAGGACCTCAAGGCTTTTGGAGGAATGGAATACATTCTCTTCTAGGGTTTCTAACAGGTTTTGGGACACGTTAAGCACGCGTAAGAATCGGAGCCCTTGGAAAGCATGTGGTTCAATGGTGCGCAGCTGTGCCCCCACAATGTGGAGCTCCTGCAGGCGCACTAAGTCTGACAGCATGCCTGCCTCGATGGTGCTGATAGGGTTGTAAGAGAGGTTGAGATGTGTCAGGTAAACCAGATGCTTAAAAGCAGAGTAAGGTACTGCAGACAGGTTGGTGTTTGTGATGGAGAGAGAAGTCAGGTTGAGACCGTACAAGCTGTTGGCAGGCAGCATGTCCAGGAGGGGCCAGGCCTCTATTTGCAGGTCCTTCAGGCGAAACAGTCTTTTAAAGGCGTACGCCGGCAAAGCATTAATATTGAGCTGTTTCAAATGCAGACTGATGAGGTTGTGGAGGTGAGAAAGAGCTTCTGTTGGTACGGCTGTGAGGTTGCATCTCTCCAGGGTGAGCTGCTCCAGGCTAAGCAGCCCACTGAAGGCCCTGTGTGATATATACACCAAATCATTGTCCCCAACCTCCAGGGATTTTAGGTTATGCAGATCTTGAAACATGTAGTCCAGCAAAATGACAATCTTGTTTTCACTTATATCAAGCTTTGTTAAGTTTGACAACCCAGTGAACACCCCAAGGGGGACCAGCTTCAGACGGTTTCCTTTCAGCCTCAAGGAGCGCAAGTTGAAGAGATTGTTAAAAGCTCCAGGCTCAACATTGGAGACAATATTGTCGCTGAGGTCAATCTCCTCCAGCAACGGGTAAGATGTGAATTCCTCAGGGTTAACGCTTTTCAGTCGGTTCTTGCTGAGGTCCAAGATTTTTGTCTCGATGGGAATGCCTTCTGGAATGGCCATCAGACGTCTCCGGTGACAGCTGACAGACTTGTTCTGCGCTGAGCATTCACAGCGGGCTGGGCAGCCCACAGTGGGGCTTGTGAAGACAAGCAGCACAGCCAGACCCAGGAACGGCTGCCAGCATGAAAGAGCTGTGTGACGCATGACTCCACTGATCTGGGCTAACCCTCCGTCAAAGGCCTGTGGGGTGAGGATGGGAAAGGGGAGAAGTTAAGTCTGCAGAAAAAGAGCACAACCATTGCAAAGCAAATGCATGTGTTTTCATATTGAACAAATCAATAAAACCTATTGTGAATGGCAAGACCTACATCAAAGCAGATTTTACTTCAATATCACAGAGCTAGTCAGAGGATTTGTTTATCCAGCATTTTCCTCCAGATGTTGGAGAAGACAAAACAGCTTTTCTTACTGCAAACAGTAAAGGACTTTTCAGTCTTTTCTCATTCTCAGTAGGTTTCCTCAAGACAGTGCTATAATTAACCCAGAGATAAATAGCATACACTATGCAAAAAGGACTAATAGCATTTGTGGTAATTTTACAGCATTGTATTTCTGTGAGGTGATACGAAACTAAGCTTTTGCCTCCTATTAGTGCTTTAAGGCAAACCTTAATGATGTATTATAATCAAAAAAAGGAGCTCCTAGACAATGAAAAGACTCCTTTTAACATTTATTGCATATGTTACAGCTATAAAGAGATGAAGCTTGTTCACTCATACTCATACACAATGGCTCAGATGAGGAAGGAAGAACTGGTGCATCTCTGCTTAGAATTTGTAATAGGTCAAATTGATTCTTTGCCTTTACTGCACAGAGATATTTTGTGTGACTCTTTAGAACCCTGATCTGAGAAGGGTTTATAGAACACATCTTTTTACTTCCAAGACATATAAACTAGTTTTATGAAGACAAAAAACAAGGTAAGATGAGCTGTCTGTGTTTAAGCAGCACTGTGTCCAAGGAAGTACCACAGATTTAATGAAAATCACAGTTTGTAAAGGATTTATTCATTCTTGTGTTCTGGTTAAAATTGAGGATAGAAGAAGACAAGATAACCTCTACTCTTCTCCAAATGATGTACTTTTCAGGTTTAGTCACCAAAGGCAAGAGACTTGCTAAGTCTACTTAGAAACTACTAAATGAAGACAAACAATTACCCATTTCAAAGAAGAAGAAAAGGATATAGGTGTTTGTCAAAGAAAGGTGTTTGAGATGTTCAGGGTAAAGCAAACTGCAAGCACCTTAGAAGCACCTCAGCTCCTGTACTAGAGACAACTTGATGAGGCTAAGGTATAGTGCTGGGTTTCAGACTTCATAACATTAATAAACTTTATAATGGGCCCAGGCCTTGTGATGTCTCTTCTGGATTTTTAATTTATTTAATTAATTTATTTAATTTAATTTGGCCTTCAAATTGTGAAAATACATACATAACTCCCACTAGTAACTACCTCTCAGGTCTGCACAGATGACTATGGCCCATCTGGTCCTATCCACAATTACAAAATTTCTCAATAGCCAAGAATCCATCACCTTATCTGTGTCTTTGGGCTTTGAGGATCATATGGCTACTGCATAAGACATTTTCAAATTACATTTGAGTCAAATTTTTTTTGTCTATGTGCTGTCACATAGATTGTAACATAAAACAAATCCTCTCATACACAGAGGATAAATACATTTAAACAAATGTGGTATAACTAAATTGATGTGGCAATCAGACAGCTATTTGAGCAAATAAGCTGTTTGAAGCACATAAAAATAATACTGAGTAAATCACAGAAAAATGAAAGTCCCACCAGTAACTCTGCTACAACAACACTGAACTTTGCTGGTACACAACTTGGAATGTGATAACTCACCAAATCAATCTGCCTGACAGTGAAGAGTTACACTTTCAGACTGTGGAAGATCAGAACAGTGGAGATTCAAGATGTAAGAGAAAGAGCAGATATTTGGATCTATTTATTTTATTGGATCTTAAAAAATTCTGAACTGAAAGTAGGAGGTTTGGATTGTAAGCTTTAGAACAATTGTAACTGGACTATGAAATAAAAAGCCGTTGTGCTCTGACTGTTAAAAACTAAACTGAGTGAAAAAGCATTTATCTTGGAGCTCTGCATAAACTGTGTTTTTTGACTGACCATACATGAATGATGCACATTGATTCACAGCTCTCTGGAAGAATTTCACTCTTGACTGATGTAGCTTTGTATTCCCATTTTTATACTTCTATGCAGAGACTATTAATGTGAGGCATATTGCACGCTGATTTTGACATATAGACTGGAGACTGGATGAAAATTATTCTGTATGGTATTACCTATAAAAGCACATTTCTACTTTGTTCTAGAAGGACAACATACTGAGATTTAGTTTCTCCCTTGAATTGTAGTCTGGCAAATAACTATTGATACTTATCTCCAGCTGTGACAAAGGTTTTCAGAGGTAAACTGCACTTTATTAGGCACTAACTTAAAACTGGAAAACAATAGGGGACTCTGAGTTAGGTGTTTGCAATAAATTTAGATCAGAGAGGTTTCTGGGTGCTCTGATCATTACTTTCAGACCTCAGTCTTTCATACTGATACTTCTACCATACACAGATTTCATTTCCTACAGTATACATCTAATAATGTATGAAGCATAAAGTAAACAGATTCAGTGGAAGATGGGCACTCCTGGAGTGCTAGGTTTAGATAGTAAAAATATGAAATGCTTTTTGCAGCTATCCAATCTACCTGGTAACTGAAATTTCTAAAGAGTACAAAGTAGAAGTAGTTTAAAAGATGATAAAACGCTTTTTTGACTGTGGCTGGAATATAGAAAAAGCAATTCAAACATTAAGTGTAGTCTTCTGCAAAGGTATGTGCACAGATAATGAGATATATATTTATCTGTAAAGGGTGCATGTGTGTGTATGCACTTGCAAGGAAGCAAGATTCACGACTGAAATATAACCTGAGTAAATGAGTAAATACATTTCAGTAAGGACAAATAATAAATTATATTAAATATCAAGTCAGAAAAATAAAGATTACGTAGATCAAAAAGTGTGGGTTACAGGAAAGCATAAATTAAATTTATTATTAAAATTTACATTGAGCCAGATGATGCTACCATTCTTTCTGCTAATCAAATCTGACTACATCCTTGGCTTTGAACTGCTTTATGGAAAAATTACTTCATCTTCACTATGGAGAAAATGTAACCTTATCTCCAGCTAGGGTTAAAAGGTCTAGCAAGTGAAACATGTATGGGACAAGGTGAATTTTGGGAGAAGCCTAGAGTGAACTTTGGCGATCTATGGCATATGGTACATTTGAATTTAATGAATGTAAAGTTGTATTTTCAGGACATGTCCAGTAACATCACTAGCTAGGCCTACCTTGTGCCTTCAGTCTAAGACCATTTTGAAAGGATACAATTTCATCTGTAAAGTACATTCCATGTCAGTGTAATCACAATTATTTATTACTATGCATCTATTAATCAACCATGCTACTTTAAAAAGAGAGAAATAATGCCATTAAAAGATATTCTTCACTGCAAGGTGATTTCTTGCAGTGAAAAATTATTTTTTGCATTTCTTTAGACTTGTGGGATTTTAATTAATTGGCAACTTCACTAGCACAGTGATGAACTGTCAGTGTCTGTATTCAACATAATGCATATCATTCCTGCTTAAACAACCAGGACTACTTTATCCTTGCCAGTGCAGGTATTCCCTCTAAACATAAGATCAGCAGCAGCTTTTTTTTCTTTTTTTTTTTTTTTGCTTCCCTCTCTTCATTGTGATACATAAAAGAAAGTAAGGTATATGCATGCAAGTATGTATATGTATATACACACATACACTCACACATAAATGTAAGCTAAAAGTATAGTCCTACTGATCTGTGATTGTACCACGCCTTGCACTACACAGTACTCCTCTAAAATTATAGCTTTTTAGATGAAAATTCAAAACACATAAATTATTATGAACTGAGAGTTTTTCTGTGCTTGGATGTGAATGACAGCCCGTAAAATTGTTTTCCTGACCTTTCTGGAGTATTTTTCATGCTTTGATAGACTCTGGGAAATGATGTATATGAAGGAATTGTTTATTAAAAAATAAAAATAAACTAATTACCTTGTTTTTTGTCTTTCTCTGGCTTTGTTCTTTTAGTCCAAAGTCAAGAGTCAAGTTGCTGTTGGCTGGTACTCTTTTTCAAAAGAGGACCCTATTCAAAGTTCAGCTATGCAATTATGAGAGCTCATTAAAGTTATTAGTTAATAGTTTTGTGTGATCTCACCCAAACAGCCATCTCTACTCTGAAATGCAAATCAGTTTGTACAAAGTTCTGCAGCTTGGAATCATCCCACAAGTGCTTTACAAGAATGTGCTGTGCCCTGTAGCTTTTAAATTGAAAAACTATAATTAAAAAAACAAACAAACAAAAAAACCCCCTCCAACCCAATGTTCTCCTAGAATTTAGAGCAACTCTTAATATCATATATAGGAATGTGCCAAATCATATATGTGTTACATATTTTTTCACTTCTCCATCTCCCTCAGACTAATGTTGAAGCCTTTAGGGCTGAAAGCTAGAGTGCACTTGACCATGGTCCTTTCCATGTCCCATCTGATGCTCCAGTATTGTGTGGGACATAGCTTTAGCCAGAAAATGTGAGAGTCACAAGATCTGTTTCTGTCATTAGCTGCATTAGCATCACTTGATGATCTGACTTGGTAGTTTTGATCTCACCTTTCTCATCCCTTTTCTCAGTCTTTCAGACCAAAAAAACCCCAGTGGATTATATCAGAGATGACAGTTTTGCCTGATGGTCACTTAATAACTTACATTCTAAAAATCCCTTTACAAAAATATACAGTATTCAATAAATATTCTATTAATTAAATATAAATTATATAATTATATATATATAAATATAAATATATATATATATAAATATAAATTATATATAAATTAAACCTTGCATGACAAGACAGATTTGTACTGATCATTCACTTAAATGCTACCAGGGAATCCTGAGAACCAGGTAAACTATCTGTTTTAAAAACATGTGCTGGGTTGACCCTGGCTGGACACTGGGTACCCATTGAGTTTGTTCTGTCACTGCCCTCCTGAACTGGACAGGGTAGAAAAAAAAATATAAAAAAA